TGGCAGAGCCTCAGCAATACTTGGCTGGCACAACTCACAACTCACACGACTCTTCAACGATCTGCATGGCTGCAAGGGAAAATGAGCAACGCAGCGACCATGAGGTACAATCCCAACCAACACCGGCGCTAAACTCTCTTGCATGAGATTCCGACGTGGGGACCACATGATTTCGAACCCCTAGACGCGTGCTCCACAATCTCTCCCCCTCCGTTGGGGGAGAGAGCAGACAAACAGCCCCGTCTACCCTCTCTTGGTGGCTAAGAAGTCCTCACGCACCTCCCAGTCGAGCGGCTGTCGGCCGTACGAAGCGAAACCTCGGTGGTTTCCACCTTCCACGATGCAGGTCTCCGTGCCCTTGGGGCACTTTTCCACCGCTGTTTGCATGTCCTGTTTCGTCGAGTGAGAAGGGAAGAGAGGCACCGAGCGGGACATGAAGGGTCCGTCCTGAAAGGAAGCCCACGGACGTTCCCTTGCGCCAAGAAAGAGCCACAAAAAAAAAAAAGCCCGAGAAATCTGAGACAGCAAGCGCCGAAAACGTCGTGGATGCGATCTGGTGAACGTTCAATACTAAACGGAACAGAGCGTCCATTGTCGTTGCAGACGAAACGGCTAGGTTGATATGGCGACATTTGGTTCCATTACTGGGGTATAGGCAGTATCTGAGCACCTCGTAGACACGGAAGCTGCTGTTTCTTGACGAAGACAATCAAGAAGTCAACATTGGCATGTCATATCGTTGAGGTTTCGAAATTTATGTACAAACTTGTACCGCATTGTCGCCCTGGCTCCTACCTTTTCCGGAGTGAAAGGGTCGCGCGAACCCCATATGACGAGCGACGGCAAGTCAAGGTTGGCGATCTTCCCCGTGGGCTTATTCCCGCCGCCCATGTACACCACACCGTTCACGCACTCCGGCCTGGCTTCTGTGAACTGAGTGGAGAGCGAAGGCGACGACGCAACGGGTGGCCACAGACGATAGCTGGCGAGAGCTCTCTTCTAGTGGTGTCTTCGACGCGTCCCGGTTATGGTCTACGAGAACAGAAACTGTGGTGGAAAACGGTTCAGAGATTTAGTCATCGATCATTGGAACCTTTCTGCGAGGAGCAACAGCAGACATACACATCAGGGGTATTGGTACGGACCGACATTAGGTAAATGTCTCACGAAATGGCCCGGGAAAAGGTCAGCAGGTACCGGGTCGAGATCTGTAGGAAGCGCTCTTTGGTTGTTGTTCTCCTACGTCATCTCGTGTCTTGGTATCCCAAGACATCGCGCGTGGTGAACAGGCAACAACGGTGCACATTTTACCTGGGGGGAAGGGGGGGGTCAAGATTTTCAATTGCAAAGTTATGTCCTCACCAACTCGACGCCCAACGTGCCCAAGGAGTGGCCGACCAGAACCCATTTGGTCGGAGGTTTGGGAGCGTCCTCCGTCTGTGTGCGCTTGATGATCTTGCCAGTTGTTGTCCAGCCGTAAAAAGCTTGCACGCGTTCAAGAACGATGAGCGCTGGTCAGATGTGTTCTTGTGTACACGCGTTTCGGTGTTCGAAGCGAGTGCAACATGCGCAGCGGCAGCGTCCAATTTGATACCGCGATCCTCGCTGACCTTCCGTCCACCTTGAATGTAAAGCACAACACACGTAAAGCATACGGCGTCGCACGACGTCACTTGGCACCTGAACAACGCAGCGTCTTCGTACGACACAAACGGCCGTCCGCCAAACAATTCGATCGACGTACACACCCATGTCAACCACGAGCACCTAGGTTGAAGGGTAGCCGCAGGACGAAGGTCGGGTAGCCTCGCTGCGCCAATGAGCGAGCCAGGATGGAATACGCGAAGGGGGACACCAAGCCTCCAGGAACGATGATCACCTGTTGTCGTGAAGGTGAGTGCAGTGTCGACATCGGCCAGTAAATGCAATGCAAAGACAAAGAATTCAACACCCTCCTTCGACTGCTATGGCTATATCTCGAATGGGTACCATAGCCTTCCGTGAATGTTTTGTATGAAAACGTCCGGTTGTCTCTCTACGTCGATGCATAGAACCATCCCTACACGCCAGTACATAATGACAGCGTGTGGACAGTTGAGGGGGGTACATGCATACATCGACAAACTATGACGATGCAGTCAGCGCCCAGAAACAAGCGAAGGCGCAGGCGTCTATAAAATAGGATTAAACTATTACCGCCCGGTGCGTACGAAAGCAGCGCACGATGACGCGAATAGCAAGCTCACCCCGACTTTCCCATCTCCTTCCCCCTCCTTTGGCTGGAACTCCATATAATCGTCCGTCATCTTCACCTGGCGAGCAGATGCCGTTCACAAGATGCGACAGGGACCGGTTCAAAAGAGACAAACGCACGCTCTTTTGGCGAGCGCTCGACAGCATACCACGTGGCGTTGCAAGCTCAAGGCGATTGATCTGTTGGATGAATCTCGGGAACTGCTTCAAATCCCTGGCCTACGCAAAGCAAAGGAAAAATGTGTGTGCTCAGCGATTGTACCGTTGGTTGTCTCGCAAGACAAACCTAGGTGCGATTTTGGGGTCGGCCAAGACACAATGCACGGGAATGTCATTCCCTTCTTCGACAGTACCATGTCGGGGAAATGGGGAAATCAGTACTGCAAGCATGCAGTCACAAAAATAAGGTCAGGGCTGAACGACCCCCCTTGTTCCGGCAGGATGGCTCTCACCATGATCCCGTCGCCCTGCGTTGAAATGGCCACGCTCTTCGTAGCCTCGTAGGCCAGATCTGTGGCGGGCTTCGATCGCAGAAGCGTGAACTTCATCGCGAACTCCAGGAGGTCCCTGCCGTACGTGAGCAGGGGCGGCTTGCCTCGGGGGTCAGCGAACCAGCCCTTCCCACGAGCGTGATGGATCATGGCCTTCCCGAACATCTGGTAAACAGCACGACAGAGCAGAGAGGGCAAATCGCGCGCTTCTGTCGTTGGGTGCCAAGGTGTTGTTGGCATCGCCTGGGTGGCAAACACTGACGCGATGATATGTGTGTGTGAGGAGCGGCGCGATACGACAACCGGGGCTCGAATTTGTTGCACTACCCTTCTTCCTCCATTGGGTACAGCTCCTGACGTGTCTAGAACAAGCGTAGTTGTGCTTGCCAAGGCACTCCTTGGTGATTTCGCACCCATCGGGGTTATGGCACAGGGGTGCGCAGAAAAAGAAAGAGCGGCATGATTGAATTGTATTTCCGCACCGTATCGTTGGCATCTGTGATATCGATGTTACCGGTTGTCACGCCCGGAGCGAAATCAATGATGTAACACCTGCTTAAGACGTAACTTTGTGTGCTTCCGTAAGGTACCGGTATCATCAAGCCCACCTTTTGAACTGCATGTAACGAACGGCTGGGGCGCGAACCCGTTACATGTCGTACCGTGGAAGTGTGCGCTTAGCAAGAAGTCAATCGTCGTTTTACCGTAGTCGATACATCGAATGCACTCGACCAAGCCAGCACACAGCACACATCCCACACCCCCAACCTATCGAACAAAAAAATAACTCAACAATGGTACTACCGGTACTATTCCCCATGAGGAAGACAAAAACAGATATGGTCGCGGGAACTGCAGGTGTAATTCGTCGCAAGTCGCCGACAACCGGTGTGTGTGCTTTGGTACGGATCTTGTACCGCGAAGTTGACCTTCTTGTACCAGAGACCAGAGCGCGCCTGTGTTCGTTCTTCAGCATCGCACCTATCGGTGTCATCGCACCGGGGTGCATGCACTCAGCACCATAGAAGGACCACTGCTGTGAACGATGCATAACGTATTGTACCCATCGGTGTCATCGCACACATCGAGTGCGAAATGAGGTTTTCGCATTTCCGCACTGGTATGGCACTCATACGCGATATGGCACCAGGTTGAGGCAAACAGCCTAGAGAGGAATGCTAAGGAAACGATGTTAACCCGGTGCCATGACACCCACAATTACGGTATGCTCGCTGGAGCATGGGCGATGGGGATACATACGTATGCATGGAGTATCGTTGTTTTGCTTTCTTCCAAAGGGAAGAGGGCACTGTTTGTCAGCGGGTATCATTCCTATGCGGGTGCGACACTATTACTTCACACTCCCTAACAACAGGAAATAGACAAGAGTCCTTTAAGCTGGCACAAGTCATACACGAAGTATCAAACGCCGTGGCTATCTCCCAACGCTCCCCGCAGCTGCACCAGGTCCGTCGGTTATCTGTGCCGAACAACTTGAGGGGATCAGAATGTCTTGGGGTGCCATGTTGGACAGACAACACCACGGCAGCGCCCCCCGCGAACGATCAGGGACGGTTCGACTACAGGACGGCCTTCACAACTTTGGATTGCGATCTCAAAACGCGTTGTTCGCAAATGTACAGATATCTCTTATGCATAGTCACTTCAAGTGCTGGGCCGGTCTGCTCCTGCTTCACTCTTCGGTGTACTGCTGTAGATCTTCTCCAGAAAACATTCAACGCACAAGGTGGGAGTGACCCTGGCCGAGGTAGAAGTTCCAGGTTTGTGAAGGAATATATATATATATATATGTGTGTACATCCCGGCAACTTGACAAGCACGCACGTTGTTGCTGGCATCGTCGATCGTCGATCTACAAGAAAGCTGTAGAAATGCATCGGCCCCCGGGTGTGCTATCGAGAAGAAAGTACGCAGGCAATAAAGTCAGCGCGAATCGAATCAACTTACGAAAGGGACCATGCACCAAAACACGGAGCTGTAGAACAGCAGCGCCGTGCGTCGCTTGCACCATACAAAGTAGTCCTTGATGACAAACCAGGCATCGTCGAACATGGTTTGATGCTCGGTATGGCGGAATCGAAACTGGCAAGGGAGTGTGGAATTGGCGGAGTGCAGTGCATAAGAGCTCCGGGGATTACTTGAAATATGGGTGTACCCACCTACATGGTGATCTCATTCAGCGTTGCCCCCGAGGTTCAACGAGAACATGTGCCGCACCAAACCAACTCGCTTTGGACCTCCAAGCCGTAGCACTGGTTACTCTTCAATGAAACGCAACCGCTGCTGCGTTGTACCGTTTTTATTGCTCGCAAATGCCCAGGGCTTTGGAACCAAGTTGACGCCGTTGAATCACTACGGTTCCGTGACAGGATACCATCAGTGCTGCAGCAACAGCCGGCAAAGCAACACCGTCGTTTCCTGTCAGCGTGCGGAAGGGAGTGCGGAAAGGGACAACCGTATAGACGCTAATCCGGAGGCGTTGCAGCAATGGTTGTCGAGCGTGGGAGGAGCTGTTGGCCCTGTTGGTTTGGAGGGTGAGTCATAGTGAGTCACCTGGGATCATGTTTCAACCGGTGTAGGATGTTGCAAAGTGATTCCTCGACACCTCGAGCTCGCTTTGTCGCCTCACGCCTACACAGACAGACACAAACGTCAAGTGCGGCGCCACGCCTCGTCTGGTCTAGCCGTCCTGTCACCCCCCATCGCCTATCGCTGTCGAAAGTCGAAAACATCAGATCTCACCGCATCCCATTGCGCCGCTTTTTTTGCCAAGCTAGATGCACTACTGCTGTAGTCTTATGCATACGAGAACAAAACGTACAAGTCCAACCTGGTTCAGAACCCATATGACTCAATGCTCACTCTTATCGCTCTACCGCCCTGCTACCGCCTTACGAAGCCTTGAAGAACTTGAACTAGCACATTCCATTTCAGGATTCTCTCGAACGGACGATCCTACTGTGATGCTATGAAAACTTTATCGTGAAGATTGTCGATATGCCGTGTGGAAAACACGAAGGTACTGCGTTTTGTAGCAACGAACGATTGAGGGCTTCCGGCTTCCCACAATGAAGCGAGATCGTTGCAGCCAAGAGTATCAGGTAGGCCGCCTTCTCTTGCATGTTGGAAGGCTAGGCTGGGTCCGTCCACCTGCAGTACTGAATTCGGACAGCATTTGCATGAACACCGCCCATCCGTTCCGCTTCACCCTCCTTATTGTAACAGAAACGCCTCATTTTGGGTGGGGGTTAAAGGCGGAGCGAGATATCGAGCTCGGGGAGAAGCTGGCGACAATCCCCAGATGCATGTGCATTGGCAGCACCGCCGCCGTGCAAGGCGAAGAGGGCGCAGACGATAGCAACGGTGTCCCCGAGGAGGACAAATCTTGGATGGGACCGCCCGAATTGCAGGCTCTTGTCGAGAAGGTCCCTCCCACGTACCCGGACCTTAGGTGAGGGCGTACCTTGTGGCTGGTCTTGAGCTCTAGACTTCTTTTGCGTTGCGATTTTTGGTATGAAAGCGTGCCGTTAGGTGTGAGCACATCACACACTGACGAATTAATCGTTTCGTCTACCGTTCCGCGAGTCCGTGTGCTTGGGCGAGGAGGCTCCTGCTGGAGAGGTCGTGATTGCCGCTAGTGTCGTCACTTTTATCAATGTATAATGCTGAAGTTGACACACGGAGCTATAGCAAGCCGCTACAGAGCACGCAAGCGAATGGTGTTTCGAACTGCTGTGCGTGCGTGTGGTGGCGATTTCTGGTGGGTGTGCACTATAAACAGGACAGCGCGTGAGGCTGGTCAAGCTAAGCAAGCCCTTCCACGGCGTTGTCGGAAACACGTGCCGCTCGCTTGCTCGTGACGACAATATTTAACTTGGCGCTGTCCATGCGTTGCCCCTGTTGGTGGGGCGCTGATTTGGCGTCGTCAGGCTTGGTCTTATTCTTTTGCACGAGCGTTACAAGATGGGCTCCTCCTCCAAGTGGGAGCCGTACATTTCGAACCTTCCGAAGCGCTTCAAGGGCGTCCCCCTGGCGTCCTTTGGCGCCGTCGAAATGAGAGGCATGCAAGACGTCGCGCTTGCCAGGAAGATCGATCAAAGGCAAGTCTCGCGGTGATAAAATTTGCCTCCTAAATGAACCGGCCATGGGAACTAATACAGCTGTTGGCCTATGATAAGTGCAACTGATCAGCTTACACGGGTCACGCCGGCGCTCAAGACGAGCGTCAAGAAGAAACGAATGGTCGATGTTCTTTGTGTGGTTGAGCAGAGCTTGCCACGAAGGCGGTCAATCAAAAGCGAGCTCGTCGCAGCTGTGGGGATCGCCGTTGGCTTTGTAGAGCCGTCCTTACGCATCACTGGAAACCCAAAGAGCTCTTGATTGTACCTCGTCGGCCTCCTTCATCTTTCTTTGCAAGGTTAGCATAACCAAGAGCGGGCTGTGTCGGCCGGCGTGCTCGCTACGCCCCATTTGAAGTCCTGATATGGAAGTTGGAGCTGTTCCGATTCGGGTGAGTAACCGCCAATCACAACGCGCGCGATGGTCTTGCTCGCTTCCACGCCGCCGCGGCAGGTGTAAATTTATGATGGATTTCATCAAGCGTGTGCTGGACCCCTTGACCCCGGGGCCGGGCTCTCCGTTCGGGGAGCACCGAGTGGGCTTCGGCGATCTGGCCTGGGCAACCGCCGCAGTCAGCAGCAGGGCGTTCACCCATTTGGACGGCGGGGGGGGGGGGTTG